AAAAAAAAAAAAAAAAATTTTTCCAGAACCCTCTCAACATAATCTTTAAATTTAGGGGCGGACATTAGCAACTTTTTTTTTCGACCCAGTCTAAAGTGCATGTCATTTGAGTCCTAGAGAAGGGGATACTAAAAAATATTTTATAATTTTTTTATTTTTATTTTAGTTTTTAAATTGTATTTTAATAAGAAAATAATCAATTTCATTAATAGTTTTATGGTATTTGAGTATTTTGGTTTTTCTATATCGCTACATAATTGTGTAAAGTAGCTTAGTCCATTTTTTTTTTTCAATTTTACAGGAGAGGAAAAACCTTCATATAGCCTTTTTTTAAGTATTCCGAAATTCTTTAAATACAGCATTTTGCGTATTTAAAGCAAAGTAAAACTCCATACGAATAAAAAGGATTCTATATTTATTAAAATATTTCGCATTAGTTTGCTTTTGTTGGATTTTCGGTGCCTTTTTTTGACTTAGCAAATTTGCTTTCATTGAATATAAACGAGAAAAAGTAAAACAAGTATCCCATATCAAGATATGAGTTTTCATAAAAAGTGGACTTAGCAACTTCTCACTCTAACAGCCGCACTCAGAGTCGTTTAATGATTACTTAAGGTGTCCCTCAGTAACGATTTAAAAAAATTCCCTCTCGGAGTCAGTTAATGATTCGTTAACGGCATTTAATGAACATTAAAGTTAAGTAAACAAAAATCTTTACTTAACTTTTTAACGAATGATTATGAAATTTTTTGTTTGTTTTCAATAAATTTCAATTTCGATAACGTTGCTGTAATAGTAGCAACGGCCCAGTGACCAGAGCACTTTCGTGCTATTCAGGAGATCCGAGTTCAATCCTCGGCAAGGAATTCTTTTTAATAAAATTTTTTTAAGATTTATTGCCGAAAAAAATTCATATTTTGTATTTTATTTAACGCTTGGAAATTTTTGTAATTCATATTTTTTCTTTTACTTTCAGCTTCTCAAATTTTTAGTTTTTCCCATTTTAAAAATATATTCTTTTTTCATTTCGTTTAGTTTTTAGAAAACTTATTGCTAAACGATAAATATAATAACAATATTAGCACATCTGTCAATTACTCATTCGAAATACAGAAAAGAGCTTTCAAGATAGTTGCCGAAATATAAAGACTTTTGTCTCTCGAAAGACTGAGGTGAGTTGAAAGACAGATGCCAGAATTAAATTTAAAAAAATTGTTTTCCTTTTTAAAGCAATAAAATTATAAATCAAAAGAAAATTAGATCAAAAAAGCAAAAAAAAAATCAATAAAGATAGTTTATAAAAATTAAACAAGAAAAAAAAGGAAAAAGAAAATTCTCCTGCCCTAGGACTCGAACTCGAATCTCTCGAATTGCACGCCAGTGCTCTGCTCGCTCAGCCATTGCGCCTGTTGAGCCAGTGCGCCCAAAATGGTATAAATACTTGTTTTTATATTTTATTTCAAACTGAACGAAAAAAGTGAGTGATGCCACAAAAATGAAGGGCCGCAACTGGGGCCATACTAAAATTTTTTATTTCATAATTTTTAACTCTGAGAGGAAACATTAATTAACAGATTTAACGATCATTAGTTAAGTGCCCGTTAGAGCTAATTTAAGGAACGTTTCTGAGTGCAGCTGTAAGATATTAAATTAATTTTACAATTTGTAATTTATATTTGAATTGAAATAATAGGCTTACTTTGCTTTAACCACCTCCAGAAAAGCAATTACCTGCATTTTAGTGGCAATTCAAAGGCAGATCCGCTTCATATACATACATACATTCATACAAATATGATATTGCCAAATGTATAAGTTGTATACATTTTTAAAGAATAGAATAAGACATTCCTGAATTCCTTTAAGAAAGTATTTTCCTGTTTATTTTCAAATTTATTTCTGCTGTTTTGATTTTAAACGACTTCAAAAAGGGAGAAGGTTATCAATTCCTTGGAATTTTTTGTTTTTCTTTTATGTATGTTACCGCATAACTTTCACCACGTTTGCCGATTTCTATATTTTTTTTTTAAGGAAAGGTGTTCTTTACCTCAAAGGTGGTCCCATACTAATTTGGTTTAAATCCGATCATAGGATCTTGGAGAAATTACTGATACTCTTAATCGGTTTCGTTTTTTGCTAAAAATTACTTGTTGATTTCAAAATTTAAGCAAATTAACAAATTTTTTTCTTTATTTGAGTACAGTTATTTTCCTACATTTAAAAAATTTGAGAAAATGCTTGCATGTTTATTTTAATATTTGTTTCTAAAGGTATTTTTCAATAGGTTTTGTTGTTGTTGGTAAACAACAAAACCGTTTTCTTTTTTTTGAGTAAAGTTATTTTCTTAAGTTCAGTTAAAACTTTACCAAATTTGAATATTTCACGAATTATTTACTATTTCGCGACCAACAAAATATTTATCCAATTTTAGGTAAATAACTTTTCCGCGTAGTATAAGTTCAAATGTTGGTTATTGTTATTTTTTTTTTTTTATCAGGCATATACTTGAAACACATTGAAAACGACAGGCTACGGACTACAAATAGGGATAGCACGATACTACTCACAAGTACAATACTATCGATACTTTTTGTTCCTATCCGAGTTTTTTGGTATCGATGATTTTAACGAAATACTCGAGGAAACTGTCGATTCTTTACCTCGATACCCCAGCATTTGTAGTAATGGTTACTTTGTTAATTTAAATGTATTTTTGCTATCTCTAATGCTGAAGTCGATAATAGTATATTTGTTTGTGTACGCGGTAAAAATACGCATATTTATTTTAGAATAATTTAGCCGCTATATCGGATGGAAATTAAGTAAATATTGAATAAGTTTGGCAGTATTTCCAATCGGCAATATGCACCCGGTTCTCCGAATTGATCAGGCACTGAAACAATACAATTTAAAATTGCATGGAATCGAATGATAAGCCGACTTATTTTATTGTAGCGCTTGTTCTCAGCAATCTTAGTGAGGATTAATATTATTTTCATTCAAAATCTAGTACTTCCTTCTAAGAAAGGCTTGTCAGATGCGAAACATTTAGTTTGCGATTATTATTTATTTATATTTATTTACTTTAGCGCGATGTTTTTTTTTTAATTCTTGTTTTATATTAATAACTCTTTATGAAATAAAACACAATTTGTTTGTAAAATTATATATGTAGATACATATAAATAATAGAAAATAAAAGGATGTACTCATTATATTAAATTTTCCAAAAAGTAATCGAAGAATCGATAGTATCGATGCTTTTTGTTGAAAGTTCGAGTACAAGAATCAATGATTCAGCAGAAAGTGCAACGACTACAAGAATCGATTATTTGAGGTATCGTCCCAACCCTAACCACAGCTGTCAAATTATTTCCACACGATATTTATTTTGGCGACGACAGAGCTACACTGCGACTGTGGTTGTGGCTGGATTAGAGCTATTTATATTTTACCTGCGACAGATAAGGTTCTTCTCTCTTATGTCAAACTCATACAAATATTGAAATGACGCCGCCGCGTTGAAAAAATTTCTGTCGCCATCGACAAAACGTTTAGATAATGGAGAAAACAAATTGGACGCTATAGCTCATAGCTCGTTGTTGTCAATGTGTTCTGTGTTGGGAAAATATTAACGTTACTATTTTGAATACTAGCTTCAATATTTTATATGGCTTTTAGTTTTTGTATATCATTTATAATGACAAATACAACAATAAAGCTTTGACTACGGTGATCTTAAGCTTATTTTTATTTCAAAGATTTTTCATATCAATTCTTTCTTATTTCACTTTATCGACACAATTTTTAACTTATTTTTCTCTTATTGATTTCATAAAAAATTTATTTAACGCAATTTTCTTGTTGCTTGTCATTTTAAAAGCGCTTGTGATTAACGCTACTAAAACTTTTTGCACTGTTCAAATATTAAGAACAACAAACATGTTCGTAGAAGAAACGCAACTTAAAATGATAACAACAACTTCTTACAACAGCGAAAAGATTTCGTCACCATTAAAAGTTTTACT